AAAAAAAACTAAACAGAACAAGAAGTATTCACAGAACTTAGTAGGTACCATTTCAAAAACTATATTAAATGTTATCCCTTATTATTCAATAATGACTTACGTCTTCATAGCTACATCTCTTGGCATGTCGCCTAGCTGAGCCCATGCCTCATACTTCATTCTTCCTTTAGCATCGAAAAATGAAGGCCGTTCGGCAGGTTCTAAAACGAAACTGAAGCTTGGGCGTGCAAAGAACTGAAACGTTGTAAATGGTGAACTTTACCCACGGCACTCAGCTCCCTCTTCCCTCTATAAATAAAATTGTGAGAGGTGTTGAAAACCACCTACTTGCTGGTCCAGCAGTTGCTTGTTTATAAAGTGCATAAAATTGTGTTAGATGACTTCGCTCAAGTCGTCCCACGATGCTTGGCAGATAGGCTGAGGCTGATTGAAACCGTGCCCGTACCTCGGGATCGATCTGAGCCTGAAAAGCCTTGTCAGAGCGACAAAAAACACCAAACTGACACAATATTGAGAAATTAAAGGCTGAAAAAACTTAAAATTGTTAAAACCAACCTCATCAGGATTATCCATCAGACCAAATTCTTCTTCCAAAGATAGCTCTTTTTTCGTTTCTAAGAAAGAAAAGTAATTATCTAAAAAAGGCTGTAGGACTTTGTGAACTGGACCTGGCATAAGTAAAGGTATAATAAATAAATTTAAAAAATTGCAATCAATAAAAAGTCCAAGGATACTACAAGGAAATGAAGAATTTCGCCTATTAACTGAAAAGATATTCGTGTCATTAAGCAACCTGTTATACCGCACTCTTCTCAGACTATATTCAATTACGGTGTAAGATTAGAGTGCCCATGAACGTTTACTGTTTATTTTACCATTTAAGAGTCAATGGGCACTCCTGTCGAAGCTTTGACTAGAAAGAGAAACTTGCAAAAAAAAAGGTATAAGAAGAGAAAATGGTGAATGAAGCCAGCACGAAACTCGCAGGTCAACAGCACTTAACACGTGAGAAAGAGGGTTTTTGAAACTTTTGTTCAGCTATATCTCCGCTCTCTATAACTC